ACCGATGTGTCGGTGATGTCGACTGATTAAAATAGCTGGTCGACTGACAGTCTACATGTCTTCTTTTCCTCTGCCTTATTTTGTATCAATATATACTTTAAACGATTACTCAATATTTACTTAAATGTTAGATGTTAAAAGATATATGTTTGACTACATTTAACATTTGCTTCCTCTACTGCTGCCTACTTCTAAATCCAAAAATTACTTAACCACTGTTTGATACGTTTTGTTAGAAGCGATACTCACTACTTCAGTAGACATGATTGTGCACCTCCCGGCAGTGCTGTGCTGAGTTGTACTGTGCAGTGCTGAGCGCGGGTGTCTCTTGTCGGACTTTATAACTACTCGTTGCAGTTACAACGCATCAAGATTGCGCTTTAGATAAACATGGATCTATTTTATCCGCTGGATTAAGGTAACTCTACTATTTGATTTAACATCGTTATCGAAACTATTACATTTATGAGGTATATACTTTGTTTAATTAATTAGTTACATAAATCAAAAGGATAAAAAGCAGAAACCATTCGATCATCATAAATGAAGTGTCCTGTGGTGGTAACAGACACAAGATAGCTGCACGTGGGTTTGTAATGTATCAGCAGTTTGTTGTCGCGTTTGTGCGCACATTGCACGCCGCGAGGATAATCCTCCGGAATGTAAACAGTAAATCTTAATCTGAGATAAACACCTCCATTGTTGTTCATTAGCTATACATTAATTGATACAAACACGTTCAAGCATCTTTATTGGAGTAGATACACATCTTTGGAATCTACATTTGATATTAAAAAATATGGCGACACGAGAAATTTTAAAAAATTGTAAAAAGTACAGACAGCGCCATCTATCCCTATTTAAAGAAACATAAAATCTCGAGTTCACCACATATGGAAAGACGATTACTTCATATTTATATAATGTAAAATTCCATGTATTATTCAGATTACATAATTACATAACGTGTAGTTTTTTAAACTTTTGAATGCGTAATAGCGTATCGTTTTAATGATGTTTTGTTCGTTATGTGACCCGCACAGCCCCCTGGCGGTCGCTCATAATAACATGGCAGTAAAACCTCGGAGATAACAAATATAACAAAACAAAGTGTTTTTTTTTTGTGTTCCAAGTGTTCGCACTGATGTTGAATTTTTTTGAGACAAATTTTCGTCAAGGTTATGGTCTAAGTAAGAATATAAAATGATTTTTTAGCTTCAAACGTTCCAACGTGTGTAAAGGATTCCATATTCCAGAACAATCTATACTGTACTTACATCTGTTTGCATCGTTTTCCCATTGCTGAGAATCCCGATATCGAGGTTTGTATAAATCTTCACGGACTGTTTAAGAAACTCTGATTTATCTTGGCTTTAACAAAATCTCAGGCCAGTTATATTGAAACTTAACATTTTTGTTTATTGCTATTATTTATTTAAAAATAGTATCAAGGAGCGATAACCTCATATTATATAACTTTTTATTACTACGATTATAAGGTTAAAAGTTGAAAGATACATCAGTGTGAAGTGAGACGCGAATGTAAATATTTTTGTACATTTTATTTTAAGGTTATTTTGGTCAGTTTTAATAAAATAACAGTTCATGTATAAAACTATATATTAATATATTTATATTTTACACATTATACGACAGAGTGTGGACACTGCTGTATGTCCACATGTCCGTATGTATGTGCTCCATACAACTTGTTATTACATTATGTAAATCTTTTTTAAATGTGTTTATATTTTAGTAACGAATAGTATTAAAAATCTATACGACTACAGCTGTTTCATATATTTTTCATACATTACATTTATTCACATCCATTAATTTTGTATCACAGACTGTCATATGTATCTCATGAGTATAACATGTACATAAGTGACGTCACAATACAACAACAAACAGAAAAATACACTGTTCCTTTTAATAAGGCATATCTCTGTGTTTTCAAATAAAGTGAAACACAACAATATCTAAATACATTGCGATAGTCTTGATTCCTTGTACAATTGCAGTTACAATTTACATACTTCAGTAAACATAATATGTATTTAAAACATTATAATAATTGTACAACATTGTATAACATTTAATTCCTACCTTATACAAAAAGTTAATTTAGTCGCATTAACGCACAACTGTGTGGGAACTCATCCGATGGCGCGGGGGGCGCTCTCTGTGGG